CCCCCCGCAGTTATATGAATGACAGGCAGTGGCCTAGTAATCCCCCCTCCCAGGTGCACTGCAGTGAAGCGGGATATTCCGCTCCCTGCCCGTCCTATTTTGGGTTCCCGTTATAGAGAGCGTGACCCCCTCTGTTTATGCTGATTTGTGTTTGGGCCTCCTCAGAATTGGTTGTCATGGTAATGGTGGGCTGGACCCTGTGTCCCATGCAAAGCCGGGGGGGTTTCACGTCCCACCCCGTGTTACAAACGCGGCCAGTTCCCAGTTTGGCTGATCCGTGACGCCCTTTAACATACCAGCATTGTAATGCAAGATCTCTCATTTCACGTCGTGTTGTTTTCTACTATTTGTCTTGTATATTTGAACAAAATCATGATTTGGACTTTTTACATGTATGTACAGAACCAGTGTGCTTTAGAGGAGTCATTGTTAAAAGATTTGGATTAGAAGCATGGACTGTTGATCAGGCTGGTTTTGAAATCTCTCTCCCTGTGATATTCTGTTTTTTTAGGAGTTCCCCTGGCTGACGCGATCTAACCTGTGACGGAATGAATGGGGCAGCCTGTAGGAGTCCTGCCCCCCTTTGCAGGAGAGAACAGCATTTTCTGTACTGTTTCGTGTCAGCAAATTCATATTCTGTTATCAGAATTTTCTAATTGCTTTGAAATTTGTAGAATGTGTAACCAGGATATATGAAATATACAGGACTGTGGAAAAGTTTTAGGCACTTGCAAAAAATGCTCTAAAGTGTTGATGCTTTGAAAAATAATACCATGAATAATTATTATTTATTAATTAGCATAAACAGTGCATAAACAGACAAAAAAACGTAAATCAAATCAATATTTGGTGCAACCATCCTTTGCCTTTAAAAAATCAATTCTCCTAGGTATTCATGCACACAGTTAAAGATTTTGTAGGCATATAGTCCATGCCTGATCAATCAGAGAAAAGAGGTACTATAAATATGTAGGTTAAAAGACAATCACTACGGAAAGCAGAAACAGCTGAAGGTGAGATGAAACTGGGTTAGGAAGAGACATGATCTGACAAACTGGTATTTTCAGATGTGCTGTCCAACGTCTTCTGCAGCACAAAGAAGCAGCATCACTAAGGACTGAAGGTGCAGTGGTCGGCCAAGGAGATTTAGTGCCGCAGATGAGATTCATCATGTTGGCTTCCCTTGGCAGTTGGAGATGTCCAGTGGCACCATCAGCTCATACTGGGCAGAGATCAGTGGGACCCCAGTACACTCGTGTACAGTCCAGAGAGGTCTGGTCAGAAGGGTCTTCATGCAAGACTTGCAGCTAATAAACGATCCCTCTGACATGGAAAGAAGGATGAGCTGCTCACCGCTGCACAAAAACAGAAGTATTGGGGTGCAGAAAAGTGGCAGCAGGTGCTCTGAACTGATGAGTCAAGATTCAAAGAATTTGGTAGTTTATTCACTGGATGGCCGAAGAGTGTTATAATAAGTCCTAAAGAACTCACTTCAAGGAGAAGAACGACAAGGGTTGCTGGAAGAGACAGATTGGCTCCCACACAGCCTTGATTTCAGCATAGAGACAAAAGTAACGGACACACCTAAATCCACAGAGGAGCTGTGGTCAGTTGTCCTAGATCTTTGGAACAACCTACTTGCAGAGTTCCGTAATACACTGTGCACAAGTGTACCTAGTAGAACTGGGGCTCTTTTAAAGCCAAAGGGTGAAATATTGATTTGATTTAGGTTTTTCCTGTTTATGCACTTTGTGTGTTGTGAATTGATAAATAAAATCATGGCAAAATGTTTTAAATAATTCACATTTTACAGCATTTTTTTACAAGTGCTAAAAACCTAGCTTTGTATTGTAATCATGTTCCCTTTTCTGCCATATTAAAACAACAAAAGGCATAATATTTTGACTTTAAGACTGTTTATAACATAATTACTTGTTTATGATTAAATTGTGTACAGTACTATTTGGACAGTAATAATAATTTGCAGTTACAATAGTAGTAAAGCTTGTTCTCTGCCAGAGGGTGATGTTTTCACAAGCTGATTGTAAAACCTGGAAATACTTTTTGTGCAGCATCTTCGTTGTGGAGAAGTTGAAGGGAGAAGGCAGAAGGAGAGTTTATATCAAGGTTTTCCTAATAGTTATATGCCATATGGACCCATTGATTCCAGTATTGTCAGGTTGGCCATATAGAGAGAGCAATTCTGAATTCATCGACCAGTTTGTCCAAAAAATTGTATAACAGTTCAATCAGTGCTGCACGAGTCTTTGTGTGTTTCTCTAAACAAATTGTGTTTTCACTGTGATGTTAATAAGGTATCCATTGTGTGTATTGGCTTAGTGTTATATGACCTGCTGATTTCCACGTTCATTATGACCTGTTTGTGATCCGCTTTAATGATTTTTAATAAATTATGTAAATATTCATTGAGTAAATAAGTGAATTATTTATTATGTAAACATGTTTACGCTGTGCCTGACAATCTTAAAACGGCAATTTCATTCTTCTGTTCTTAGACTCAGCTGCGTGATCTCTGCACATTTTTAGGGAAACATTTTAAATAACTGCTGTATATTTTTGTCATTTTGAGTCACTCTAGAGTCCTAAAGAGAAATGCGTAAATGTATCTCTTCTGGATAAGGGAGTGTGTATCTGTACAGTTATAATGAAGGCGTCTGATTTCAGTCAGTTCAAGTGTCCTGTGACATGCAGATCCTCTTAGTCCATCAACATCGATTTCATTTATGATTATTTTGAAAATGTCTCTTCTAAAGTGTAAAACAAGTTTGTTGAGATATAGCGCATAGCGATGCGTGTGTGGAGCAAGGTTTTTAATGCCAGCCAAAAGTCTGGACATACTGTACCTGCTTTTAACGCATTTGTTTTTATTTTAGCTACACTATTTAGCTTATTATAAAAGCCCTCAAGGCAATAACATAATACATATCAAATACTTCATCAACCAAAAGAAGTATTTCAGCATCTCAGAAACTCCTCAGATTCTAGGCTTCTTTTGCTTTAATGACAGCATTACAGGCTCTTTCAACCAGCTTCCATTTGTAGGTCCCTAGAATGCTTCTCCAACAGGGACCAGGTCGTCTGCCACAGCGCTCCATCTCTTTGCTTAGGGTCATTAACTCTTTTAAGTAGGTGTGTCCTAACTTTTGACTGGTACCGTGTATGGCCCAGGTATTTGAGGATATTTGCCAAAGGTCGCATACAGGCTACCAGGTGGTGACCGGCAATCATGCGTTCTTCTTTTGTAGTCTTTGGAGAAGCTGTTAGATTATCACAAATATAGGTCGCGTGAACTACCGGCTTGAGTGGAAATTGGGACTTATCTAGTTCAAAATCTATTATATGTAGCCTGTCCACACTGTACTTTGGGTGAGTGTATGTATTGTGCTGCACTGCACACTGTACTTTGGGTGAGTGTATGTATTGTGCTGCACTCCACACTGTATTGTTCATACATTATCAAGTCACTTTATTTATTTAATGTCATGCTATTAATTCTGAGGCTGAGTTGCTGGTGCCTTATAGGAATAATGGGTTGACGGAGTTAAACGCCATGAGTCAGTAGTTTCCGGAAGCAGACACACAAATAAATTCAGCTTAAACTGGGCTGATCGATAACCCCTGACTACAGCGCAATCAAAGTGGACGGCTGCGTGTTCTGTGCTCCGCTGGCCTCCGGACGTGCTGAGTCAAACGAGCGCCTCAGTCATGATACCGGGAAAGTTTCCTGTATTTACATCATCATCATATTCTTCTTAATATTAACGATAAGACTGAGTCAGATGTAGTGACTTCACTTCCTTTGGAAAAACGATGAACACTTCATCATCATCATCATCATCATCATCATCATCATCATTATTATTATTATTATTATTATTATTTTGTTTGCTTGCTTGTTTGTTTATCCCTCACACTACTTTTCCTGGTGACGGTTGTGATATAATTATAATTTGTAACTATATAATTATTATTTGTAACTCCGCCTTAATTAAAATGACCTCACTCAGTTTTGTGTTTGTGTCACACACAGATGGGCGGGGGGAGGGGGGGGGACAGACACAAAGCACACTTACAGTAGTAGTATAAGCATCCAACATTGGCACAGTGGGCAGCTGACAGGCATGCCCCATAATTATAGCCCTGTCTCATTTTCACGGGCACTGTCTGACATTCCTCCTGTTTATGGGCTTGCAGGGGGAGAGGATCCAGCGGCAGAGAGGGGAGAGAGAGAGTGAGAGAAAGCCTCTCTCAGTCACCAAGCCAGAGTGAGAGAGAGGGAGGGGGGAGGAAAGAGAGAGAGAGAGAGACACACACACACACAGCCACAAACGATGAGACCTAGAAAACCTGAAGCCAACCCAAGACACTCAAGCTAAATGAGCACAGCGCTCCCACCCAGCATTTTTTCAGTCATGCTTGGACTTAGAATTCAGCTCCTGCTCTGCTGCATGCTGTCCCAGTTCTGGGCCATGGGCAGCTTCCTCTCCACTCCAGCAGGTAGGTTCGCTTGTGTCGGGGGTACCTGCATGACGGACGTGTGTGTGTCACGGGCGGAAGGATCCGGCGCCGGAGCGTCAGCGGTCCTGCGGCTCTGGAAGCCCCCACTGGCCTGTTCCTCCCACAGTAAGAAGCACAACAGCTGCTGGGTTCGTACATGTTAGACATGGACAAATGGTCATGTAGTGAAAGCGGTGATTTTCACTGCATCTTACACGGGGCGGCATGCTGCACGTGTAATAACATTTAGAGAAGATGGAGGACAGCCAGTCGGGCCTGACCCTGTCACAGAGGCTGCCAAACTTTCTTCAAGTGGGGAGAGATTCTGTAAGCTTTTATTACGCACAATGCCTCTTTTCCGATGATGAACTAGTCAGCATTTAATTGAGAGGATTTCAGGGTTACTGCTTGGCTGTTACCAAACCGACTGTGAGGGTAGTCTGTGAGCTTTTAAAGGAAGTCGCTAATGCTGTATGGCTGTTACCAAACCGACTGTGAGGGTAGTCTGTGAGCTTTTAAAGGAAGTCGCTAATGCTGTATGGCTGCAATCTGTTTAGTTTACAGAACTCCGGAGCACAAGACAAAATTCAACCTTTGCTGCCTGCTGACTCCGCCCCCTCCCCCAATGTTCCCACCTCCCTCTGCACTATGGGAACAGTACAGTCCTGTGAGTTTGTTACCATGACTCGTCATGTGACGCCTGTGAGTCTTCCCTCTTAAGAGTGGCATGGTCACGTGACTTGGAGAGATTCCAAACCGCTCTCCCTGCGGCGATGCTGAGGCTACGGCGTGCAGGGACGTCAGGCACCAGACACTGATCAGGGAAGAGCATAGTTTCAACAAAAGTCAGGCAAAAATAACCATTTGGGAACCACTTTCCATCTATGTAATCACAAGTGTTTTTGAAGAGTTCTCAAAAGAGCAATGTGCTGTAAATGCAGAATGACCTGCAATGTATGAAAATTGCATATGTCTTCGAGGAGGGAATTATACGATCCCTTAAAATGGTGAACAGTTGTTGTTCTTTCTATCAGTAATTTTGGTTTTTCCACAAGGACTTATATCACCCTGTACAGTGCAGGTTTTTAGCCCCGCATTTGTATTTCTCTGTACATTCCCGTATCTCGGCTCTGTGCTTTAGATTAAGCCCCCGCCGACAGAGGAAGGAAGCCGAACTGCATCGGAACCTGAGGGCCAGAAGCCTGATGTCTGCGTCCCTGGTGCCCCTGGTCCTTCAGGACCTGCAGGTCCTCAGGTAGGAAACTCAATTTTGCCCCAAGCCATCTCAACATCGGTGAACATCAAACCAGCCGGATAGCTTCAGCAGTTCCTTCAGAATAATTAGATCCAGAGGGATACTCGTAGACTCGTAGACATACGACGCAGCTCAGTACACACTGAGAAGTGCATGAAACCGTTATGCGGTGGTGCAACTTAAACAGGGGCAAGAGATTTCACATCAGTATGAGGTATGATTGGGCAGAACAGCGACAGTTACACTTTCCCAGAGTAGAGAAGGTGAACAGGCAAAAAGCAGTTTATGTGAGTAAGCGTAAATTTAAAATGTGGTACGGCGGTGATGTAATCTCTGGATTGCTCTGCCAGTAGTGGGGTTAGGGGGGGATGGGTGTGTTCGACGAGGAGGACGTGTGTGTGTGACTCGCAGCTGCCGTTTCCTGCTGTAAGCATAATGAGGGACCTCGGACCTCCAACACAGACACCCATTAACAATTCACTTTTAGCCGAGACGGAAATAGAGTCTTTCCACTAGCTATCGCCGCTCAGGAACTGCTCGTCTTGGCTTTTTAGGTTTCACTGCCAAATGGCCAGGAACATTAGGTGATGTGTGAAAAGCTATCAGCTGATTAACAGGAAATCCCTCTGTGCGGTTAAAACTCAATTGTGGTCAAAATACTGGGTGTAAGAATTAAGCGTAAATTTTAAATAGCTGAATTAACATTTTGAGTTATAATTGGCTTTTGAGTTCTGATATAGACTAGTCATGTTACATGAACTGGATAAGCAGTTGGACAATGAATGAATGGATGGATTGATATTATTTGCTGAGCTAGGATTAGAACCAACCAAAACTAACTGATGTGAACGAGAATAACTTTTAATCACATTTGGTGGGTTACATAATGGAAAAAACATCAAGAACTCATGTGAAATACAAATAAAAATCATTTTAAAATCAATCAAATCAAGCAATAATGTGGAAAAGTATGAATCTCTAAAATAAGGGACTTGATTTCCAGGGTCCAAACGGAATTCCCGGAGTGAATGGACCAAAGGGAGATAAGGTAATACCATTTTCATGGAGTCAAAGGGCATCATGCCATATGCTGTCAGTTCTTGTTTATCTTGCTCAGTTTCCAAACTTGGACTTGGGACCCCCCCCCCCCCCCCCCAAGACAGGTCAAGTGGACTGTCTGGCAGGGAGCCAAAAACGTGGACTATCTAGGGGTTCCCAAGGACCGAGTTAGGAAACACTGGTCTAGCCTATTGTCCAGTTAAACTGAACTGCATTAATTGTACTCTCTTACTGCCCCCCACCCCCCATTCTAAGGGAGAAATTGGAAGACCAGGAAAGAAGGTGAGTGCATCTATTAATTCTTAATTTCATTATAAACTAACTTCAGGGTCGCTAAATAGCCACTTCGAGATGGATGTCATCTATTTAGTTTAAATACTAGTTGCAGGGAATGAGATTCTAGAAGAGCCTCATCCAGTCAGAACTTGCATGTCAGCCTTTTCGGACGACAGCATACTCAGGGAGTGGACAAATTGATCTTTCCATGTCAGGATAATTCAGTGACACCCGCTGTATCCCAAAGTGAATTATCCTACCAGAAAGGCCTGCACAGCAGTGGGCTGCATCTCCTTTGCTCTTGGGGGGGGTACCATGGCAGTGGGGGAGGGGGGAAGGGGGTGATGGAAATGCTACCAAAACACTGGGCAGGCCTGGAAATACTGTTACCTAATTTAGCTTAGTGCAGGTACAATCCCATAAGTCATTTGTCTCTCATAAGGAGAGACCGCTGCTCAGCATACAGTCTGTCATTTAATTAAGGAAGGCCGTCTTTAATGTCAGTTTCCGCCTCCGTAGGTGGAAATAAAGCAAGAAACCTCTTCTCTTGCTTGCCCTGGGATTAAACCTTTCTGGGAAATGCAGGCAATGGGTATACATTTGGGAAGATGTGTAAGAAAATATTGGGAAGAAAATATTTCTTTGCATTTATATATATATATATATATATATTGTCCAAAGCATCGTACGGCAAAGAGCCCAGTGCAAACAAACAAACAACAACAAACAAACAAACAGGATCAAACTCAGTATCTGTACAGCTGAGCTTCCAAAGAATACCCAGGTACAGGTGTAAGCAGTAATGGAGTAAGAGCTACACAACATCATGCAACAAAACAAGAACCTAATAAGACTATTCAGTGACCTGAAGTGCAACATTAAGGACATTCAGAGAATCTAAAGAAGCATCAGGCTAGTTGAGGAATTAATGGAACAGATGGGTGTTGAGGCGTTTATAAAAGGTGGAGAGGGAGTCTGATGACCAGACGTGGTTCAGAAGCTCATTCTACTGTCAGGGAGCCAAATAAGAGAAACCATCTGACACGCTGGAGGGAGCTTCAAGTTGGCAATGGTTTGCTACCCTACTTTTTTCGGACTTTTTGCCCTTTTTCAGGGTCATACTGGGCCACCCGGCCTGCCAGGGCTACAGGGAGCACCAGGCTGGCCGGGACCATATGGGCCCAAAGTGAGTAAGTCGGATTTTTTGGTACAGATACCCCTAATTTAACTTAAAATCCCTTACCTTACCTTACCTTACCTTACACTATACTAATCAGTGTATGGAACTGTCCACACTGATTGTGGTCAGAGTTGCGGGGGCTCGGAAGCCCGTTGCAGGCAGTAACGGCATGAAGCTGGGGTGCACCCTGGGTGGGACTCCAGTCCTTCTCAGTTTAGAGACTCCAGTGGCCACATGCTTTTGGACTGTTAGAGGAAAGCAGAGGTCCCTGTATGACACAGTGAGAACATGCAAGCTCCATGCACGCAGAGAGAAAGTAGGATTCGAACCTCCTATCCTGGAGGTGTCAGCCAACAGTGTTAATCCAGATCAACACTTCACTGCTTCGCTAATCGCAATATATCAGCATACTAGTTAGTAAATTTGATACTTATAAAAATGTTGAAACAACTTGTTTCCTTTTGCTACCAAAAATCTGTATTTTAAGTGCAATATGATTAGCCTGAGCCTTTGCAGTGCCTGAGCCTGCCATCACTGCACTGGTCCCATTGCAGGGGGAGAAGGGAGATTCTGGGCTGATGGGAATGCCTGGTGCAAGAGGACCAGTGGGACCGAAGGTAGGCAGTGCTCTGGGGGCTACTCCCCGTCGGTGCGGAGAGCGCTAACGGCGCGTTAGCATCACGCTGAAGCTGCATGGGGTGCACTGTCGCTTCGCTGTTTTGCACTATTCTACCCTAAAGGAAACTGTTGACTCGCAATGGCACCGATTAAACATCCAGATATATAAATAGGTAAAATTATAAATCACTATAGAAGTGTCTGTTAAGGAGTAAATTAATAATGGTGTGTCAGTGCTGCTGGAAATGCTACATTAAGGTCAGGCTGTTATTTTATAAGTAAGTCTTTAAACAAAAGACAGGGAAAGTCCTCTTTGGCACCCCCCCCCCCCAAAGTTGGGTGACTGAGACTGAGAGCACCATCTCACCTACAGGGGATGCCTGGATACAAAGGGGAGAAGGTGAGTTCACAACCATCTCTGTTGTGACGTGTCATTCCTAGTGGTCCTGGTGGTGGTGTTTGTAGCTCTTGGACACAACTACTCACTGCTTTGTTTTTATAAGTTAGATTCATTTCAGGTCCTGTCTTTATCTGTTTTGTTTTTTTAATGAATGTCCCATCAGGGGTCTCGAGGCGAACGAGGGGAACCTGGTGCAAAGGGTTTTAAGGTTGGTTCCTAAGGTCCAGGGTCTAATCTGATACACGTTCTATGACTATCAGCTTTCAGTATTAAGATTCAGTTCCTCATTGTATGTGCACATTTTCTTTATCCACCATCAATCTGTAACATACTCAATTGCTAATAGCAACTCAGTATTACCTTCTGAAGCCAAAGGTGCAATAAGGCCAGCATCTTGCATCAAATCGCTCTTCCCATGGGCAGATCACATGCTTGTGTTCAGAGCTTAACTTTGTGTTCTTGCGTTCTCTGCACTCTAGGGTGCAATGGGTTTCCCAGGGATGCTGGGAGAGAAGGTGAGTAGACATGGTAACTGCGATCATTTGTCATCATTATTTCAGCAAGTGGTTAATTACTGCTGCTTTTATGCGCCTGGTAATTTACTGTCAGCAAACCCTAACCTCCCATCTTAGGGTGAAATGGGTCCACAGGGAGAGCCTGGCGTCACAGGAAACAGAGGATCCACCGGTCGACCAGGCAAGAGAGGAAAGCAGGTAAGGACAGAGAGTCCTCATCTAGACACAGAGATGTCCTCTTAAACACTGATCATTGGTTACAATATAGTGGTGCTCATTACAACAGTGATGACATTCTCAGAAATGTCTCAGAATGAGTTTGACCGTTCTGCTTCAGCCTGCTTTCTGACCTTAACAACGTCACTAGATATACATGATATTTTTGATCACTTGTTTGCATAGACGGCTCCGGCTAGCCAAGGGAAAGGTGTTGAGTCAGTGGTGTAACTGGTCATATAAACAAACGACTGTGCTTTCCATTCAGGGGACGAAGGGAGACCCTGGAGTACTTGGCCCCATGGGTCCCATCGGCCACCCTGGCCCCTCCGGCCCCCCCGGCGCCCCAGGCCTGCCAGCCTCGGGTGAGAATACCTGTATCATGTCAACTAGAGCAGCTCATATGAGGGAGCTATAAGTGTCATGTGGGAGTCACCAGATTTAGAGCATTAGTATTTGAACGGTAGAGCTAGAGTGTTAGCGCTATGCATCAATTGAGAATCTGATACCAACTCAAGTGGACGGCTTATGCCAATGGATCCTCGGGATGTGACATCATAGTTTTTTTTTAAGGGGCAGGGTTCTCACTGCTTAATAAGTGAGTAAATTCCCAGGACATTAGAGTAGGTATCTTGTTCTGTGTTTCTTGGCCTGGCAAACTACTTTACATTAGTACTCTATAGAGAAACTTTTAATTTTTTGTTAGAAATTATTTTGGTGCCCTTGAATTTCTACATGCTCAGTGGGTAAATCGTGTAAGAGGGGGACAGTTACTATGATTCCAAGGGCCCTGGAGCATGACTGTATTGGTCTGGGTTGGAGGCCCAATATCATCTGCTTTCATGGGGCCCAAAATTTCTAGCAGTGCCCCTGCATTCAAGCAAATCATTAATCATTATGTAGACAATATATTTATCTTCAGGTTACTTTCTTAAGTCTTTAAACAAGTCAGAGAAACACTAATGAATTTTTTCCCAAAGGATGGGAGAATTCTGGTCTTTGCCTCTAATATCCATCTCTGCATGAGCACTGCTGCAGGGTTTGACTGTAACCTCTATGTCTTTGCTGTGTGACTGTAACCCCTACGTCTTTCGTGTGACTGTAACCTCTACGTCTTTGGTTTGTGACTGTAACCTCTACATCTTTGCTGTGTGACTGTAACCTCTATGTCTTTGCTGTGTGACTGTAATCTCTATATTTTTGGTGTGTGACTGTAATCTCTACGTCTTTCCTGTGTGACTGTAACCTCTACATATTTGGTTTGTGACTGTAACCTCTACGTCTTTGGTGTGACTGTAACCTCTACGTCTTTGGTGTGACTGTAACCTCTACGTCTTTGGTGTCTGCTTTGCTCTCAAAGGAGTTTTTGTGGTTGGACAGAAGGGGGAGAAGGGACTTCCTGGTTCTCCTGGTCGATGCAGCTGCAATGCCCCCATGAGCGTAAACAGCCCCCCCCATGACGAGCAGGCCCATGTGGGTAATTATGACAAAGTACCCATGGTAAGAACCTCAACTTCCTATGGCCCCAACAGTTTTTGTCATTTGCTTGTAATTGGTTCATTGAACCTTACATCACTTTAGAGGGATAAAGAGGAAATAAACACATCCTCACTACTTCTGGACTGGTATAGTTTGTACATTAAGGCCGCCTAGTGACTAGCCTGTTGGCTAAACCCCTATATTTGAAATCTGTGAGGGCTCTGCCTGGTGACAAGGCCATTGACTCACCAGGCGATTTGGAGTTAAATGATACATGGGCACTCGGTGCAGGGAGGAAGAAGCAATCAGGCTGAGGTTTAGGGCCATTCAAACTCTTTGTTATTTAAGAACCCAACAAAAGAAGAGCCAGGAGACTGAAAACACAAGGAGTGCTGAACTGCCAGTTGAGCTAAACAGTTTACTCTTGGCTGAGATTTGTCCAAGACTCAGCAACTGGGGGAATGGAGACACAGCAATTAAACAACCCACCCCCAGATGGGACCTACTCATTGCTTGATGATGCCAATCTTGCTGTTCCAGACTAGGCATCATGCCAGGTAACATGGGAATTCTGAGGCTGCTCAAGGGCAAATGAGGAACAGCCAAGACCCTGGGAGAGACAAGTGTTAGGGACAAAGCACTCGTCTTCAATGTCAGCTTGATGACAAAGGACTCCTGAGCTTATGGCACATAGGACTTGATGCTACACAGTTATCCGTGGCAAGTAGAAGACCACTGAAAATCCAGATCCAATGGACAGTAGTTTGAATATGTCTGGTAGCCTAATATTTGAAGTATTGGACACTTTGTAGGATTACTGCATATCTAAAAGGAAATAACTCCAGGGAAACGAAAACTACTTTAAAAGGTAACCAATTTCCCCTCTTTTCTCCTAGATATTTGTGGTCAATAATGAAGAAGAACTGCACCACCTAGACACAAGAAATGCAATTGCATTTCGAAAAGATCAGAGGTCTCTTTATTTTAAAGATGTTGGAGGATGGAAACCCATTCAGGTATTTCACACATCATCATCATATATGTGGTATGCTTCTGATAACAAACTGGGATGGCATGTAGGTCACTAGTTTAAATCTTGTGCCCAGCAGAGTCATCATATCACTGTTGGGCCATTGACAGACGGTCCTTAATTCTGAAAATGCTCCAGCAATGCTAGATAAATGGATAAACTAGTACTCTGACCCCAAGCAGAGCAGAGCAAGATGGGATATGTGAAAGTCGAATTCTTATGTACTTGTACAAATGACAAGATAAAGTATTATCATTTTGACAGAAAATTCGAGGAATTATTGTTATGAAAATCCCAATAAACCCCAAAGACCGTCATAGGTTTTAAATTCTATAGAGACACTTCTATTTTCCAGCTTAGCCCATTCCAATCCATGGACAACACCCCAGGTGTGGAGGGGGTCTGCGGTGACAGAATAGTGCAGACCCACAACGGAGAGGAATGCGACGACGGCAACAAGGTGGTCACTGACGGCTGCATCAGTAAGTGGCACCAACGATCGCATCACCACTCCCCATTTGGGTCTGGGTCTGGTCATGTTTCACCAAGCAGACGGACCACCCAGGCATCATGAGGAGCTAAAACCATCCAGCACCTGTTTCCTATGCAGGGTGCAAATTAGCATACTGTGGAGATGGATATCGCCATGAAGGAGTCGAAGAGTGTGATGGGAAGGACTTCGGCTATCAAACATGCAAAGTGTATCTTCCTGGGTGCGTCCTTCTTTATCTCCCATAGTGTAATACACAACTGAATATTCTGTACTGTTCCAGCTTATATATTTACCCAGGCTTCAGTTTACCCTCAATCTCAATGCTCTCCCTGTTAAAGCAAAATGGGGCCAACATTAAACTCAACGTAATCGATCATAGCGATACTTCAATTGTTTGAAAACAGAAATAATGTTGGCTATTATCCCTTCAAGGGACCATTCAGCAATCTTACAAAAGAGTTTGCGATACTTTGTCCTAAATCATGCATTTTATATGAAAACAAATATGGCAAGTGTAGTTTTGAAATAATATTCTCTTTTATATTTATAAAAAGTTTCAGTATGTTGTGGTGTCTCTTTTGTTTTGAAGGTCATATGGACAGCTCAGGTGCACTGAGAAGTGTTTCATTGACTCTACAAACTGCAAGTATTTCACATGAGAGAGAGACCAGGGACTGTGCAGGACCCACCTTACTTTCCCAGGATGGAAAGGTGACTTAGGTGAAAAGACCAAGCTGCTAGGAATAAGACAAGATGATCATCTAAGAGAAACCATAAGCATGACTCTTCTACTACACTGTTTCTATAAAGGCACATAGTTGGCGGAGAAGCTCTTCACCACAGGAAACGTATCATCAGAAGGCATACAGGACCACTGCATTCTGTCTTAAAGGCTGAGCCAGGAGAGCCTGTGGAGCGGAGCTGTAGACCTATGAAAGGCTCCTCCCCAGGGGAAAAAAGCCCCTTTTGGCTACAGGACATTTATATTACCAAATTACCGCTTTTTCAGGTTTCGTGGGAGTCATTCTTCCAACTGGTCTTGACCAAGGTGCTGTGCATATTTTCAGTAATAAAACGCTGTACTATTTGCATGAGGATCATAAGGCAGAACTTAATGCCAGGTAGACAGTCTACTTATCAGAATAAGCTATGTAAATAAAGCTATTTATGTTTGTCCCTGTAATATTCTGTTATATGACCCAATGGGCATCCAGTCTGGGGTTTCTTCCTGTCCTGTAGCCTGTGGTTCCTGGGACGAGCTCCAGACTCACCACTGACTGTATACTGGATTAGTGGTTATGGGAAATTGATGGATGGATGACCCAATAATTACAGAAAAAGGGAAAAAAAAATGTGCTGCTAGTTTGTAGCACAGATGGGCATGAAAGATGCAGGTTGCATAGGACCCTGACCTCTCAGGGGATCATTTTCACATATTTCCTGGCCACTGAGATGGACAGGCGGCCGGCCTGATGTGATACCATGAAATATTGATTCCCTTCCCAGATGAGCATCAGCAGTGTTATTGTCTTAATGATGAGAATCCAGCGCTGTTTTTGTTAGCTGGATTTTTAGCACAGCTGTGGCTGTCACGCTAGGCTAGTAGGAGCAAACAGTCACACGTGAGCAAATCATATTGGTCTGCCTCGTGTGGCATGAAAGACCACGCTGCCTTAGTTCTCAGTTATCTTAGCTAATGTCCAGGTAAATGTTGAGTTATCATCAGCAATTGTGCATTACTTTTATAATCGGGGTCATGGTTGAACTGCACGTTCATATATACAGTTTACACGTCAAAGTGCACTTGATATGTTAGCATGTGTCGATACATTGACTGCACTGTAGAATATGCTATGAGTGGCTGACTAGGCTGTTCTTGGCCACATTCATGAGTACTGTGGTCTGTACAAAGTGCTACATTCTCCGCCACGTCAGTGGGCGAGCAAAAGCCATTTGTGAACCTTTAATTTATTCCAAAAATGTCTGATTTACGCCTGCAATGTGGTTGAATAAATAAGCGAAATCAAGCCGAGAGAATTTATACAATCTTGCTAATGTACCCTTCATTACTCTAATTGCAATCTTTCTTCCCGATGACCTGAACTACCTCCCAGATCCTTTAAACACAGCCGAATCGACGGGTCGCTGTCGTGGGTCTTTACAAAGTGCGCTGTCGCTGTCTTGGTGAGCCAGCCAGCTGGGAGCGGGAGGGGCTGGGCTGCTCCACTCAGTGAATTGCTCTATTTGGCAGTGACAGTGATGGACTGGCTACTGGCGAGCCTGCGGCAGGACGACTTTGCTGTGATTGGGCAGGATGACTGTGCTAAGCCTCCCCCTCAATGCTGAGCCAGCTTCTGTGGCCAACGGGTCGAGCTGACACAGCACATGGGCGGGGCATGGCACGCCTCCATTGCAACACAAAGAGATGGGTTCAAAGCTGAGGTTTGCCGCTAACTGCATTAGTTGGCCTCGCTTCTCACCTGAATTACATTAAGAAAATTTACTTACAGACACGCCCGTCGAAAAGACTCGCCTAAGCGTTTTTTTCTTCTTTCCAGCACTAATTACCTAGCCTGGGATAAATCAGACCTATACCTTTTGCCATGACAATATTTTCTCATACATGACTTTAAAATTTCCATTAGCAGGTCAACCGTCACTTAGGAATTGGACGCTTATCCTAAAAGAATTCCCTCCTGTTGGGTCCATGAAGGGCCAGGAATATTCTAGAGGCCTTCTGAACTTGGCCTTGGGTCTAAGCAGTTGACCGGAAACTCGGCAGAGTGTTGTGAAATAAAAACCAGCCCACAACTTTTCCAGTCAAACCAGCGATTATTTTGGGGCTGGCTGAAAAGTGTCACATTACTGTTGATGTGGGGCAGAAGTGACCCCGGCAGGAAACAGGCAGGGGACCAGCTGTCGACTAGGCCCAATGAAAAAACCCTGGCCTATAGGGAGGAGTCTATGGAATGCTAGGTACTCAGGAAATTACTGAACACATCTCTGGATGTAAGGAGAGGTGTGCTGTAATGTAAGGGGTGCAAAACCTGTAAAATAGGTCATCTGTGTTAGGGGCTAGTCTAAGATGTAGGTACACATGCATTTCCTCATGTGAAATTGTCTGCAGTAGTGTTTGACTCTACAGTAGAGGCCTGTGATAGGGTTTTATCTTCAGCCAGTGGAAGACTCTGGACCTGGATTTCAGAATCTCGGACTTCATGGCATCAAACCATGAGTCTCAAGCAGGTATCTCCATCAGGGACAGAGCAGGGCAGGAGAAGAATGTCATCCGGAATGTGGTCGATCTACCCATCAATCCTTCTTTATCCCACATGGCCTTTAGAGTTGCCGGTAAATAATACTTCCACAAAAGCAGCTAAGTAAATCTGGTTTAATAAATCTGGAAAAAAAACAATTAAAAGAGCATTCTTCCATTAAAATTGTAATTCTGTCTTGGACATTCTTTGATAAGGAAAGGTCATGTACTAGCAAGACTTCATTTCTACATTCCAGGCTGAAGCGAGCCCCCCACAGTCAGCTGGAGAATTCACTGGCGTATACATATTTAGCGACCATAGGGCATCAGACAAAGTTTTTGTCCACTGTTGGTCGAAGCCCACTAAGACCAAAGCATCCGTGGATCAAGATGCTTTCCTACAGCAAAGTAGGGGTTTTTCTGCATGAAATATAAGAATAAGAAAGCAACCCACCTCTGTCTCACACAGTTGGCAGAGAAAGCAATTGGCACCTTTGATTTGTTCACGCAATAAAATAAGATATATTAAATATCCCACAAGATGCATTGGTTAACGGAACATGACTGCAGTGGCCTGACATTAAATAAACGAAATGCATACATATTTTCCAAGGAAAAATAAATAAAGTTACCATAAGTGTTATATTCATACATAGTGTATCGTTTCCATGTGGCTGCGCAGTACAGGATCACTCTCCTGACTGCTGCTAGTGTTGACGATGGCGTGGGATTGTGCCGGAAGGAACATGTCCCATTGCAAAAACGCACGTTTTTAATATGACGTCAGATATAGGATACTGCCGTGTTACTGGGTCGTGCAAGGTACACGATTTTGCACGACCACCATATATTCTGCAGGAGGAGGGCACACATCCAAATGTGCAGCTGCCGACACCCCCGAGCCCCCCCACCCCCTAAACGCCACCTCGGTTACACTTGGTATTTCCTCCCCGAAATGATCGCGATAAAAAGTATCAGTATCCAGAAATGTTCTCTGGCTGAACTTCCAACTCAACCCGAAGTTCACACCATCTCCTATTGGCCTGTAAAGCCTCACAGCTGAAGATGATTTAAAGGGGGAGATTCCAGCTCTGACAGATCGGAGTCCTTCGGCTACAGAGCGAGACTCGGGAGGAGAAACATCCCATAAAATAAAGCTGCTACTACGGGAACCTCCATGTCTTCGGCAGAAGACCGTTCCCTATGATTTACACCATCTTCACAACTGGTGAGGGTGAAAGCATCTGGACTGAAGGGAGGGCGTACTTATTACAGGTAGAGTCTGAAATGTAAACTTGACGAGCTCCCAGAACTCAAAGGATCAGCAATCACTGCTTCCAGGCTCTGTAGGCTCTATGTGCCACTGGGACCAGGTGCTCTGGAAACAAGCTCTGCTCTGATACCCTCTGCTCTGAGCCCACTCCTCCCGTCAGGGCGAGCGAGCCACTGCTCAAGTCCACATGGTCACACCACCTCGTCCGACTCCAGGCCATATTCGTCATATAGTGTGTCCAGGACACCCAGCTGCCGCTCCATGGCTGGCAGGTACGTCCCGAGGTCCCTGTGCATGCCGCTAACGAAGCCCTCCTTCAGCTCGTCCCCTTCCCTGGACACCAGCGCCCCCATGAAGGTCCTATACGATGGGGCAGCCCTCAAGGCCAGCTGGAGAGAAGCACGAGTTAGACAAGATACTCACGCAGTAAAAGTAAGAAAAACGACGAATAATACGATGTTAAGAGATTATAGCAAGAACTCACAGCAAAAACCCCTCGTACGACCCATCCATGGTACTGCCGCAATGTCTTCCCATAGGCGTTATCTGCGAGGAGAAAGATATCGAGTGAACACTACGGTCCTCCGTAATCTGTGGAGCATGCCCAGTGTGCCCGTCGGCTTCAGTCAGCAGACGGGGTCCTGCCACGTGAAAGCCGGCTTTGGCGTCGCCCTAGGACTCACTCAGCGCTCCAGGGATGTCCCGCTCGCCCTGCTTCACTTCCCACAGGAATTCCTTGAGGAACTTGAGACCCCGTTTTAGCCAGAGCAGCGCTTCCGTGGCCGAGTTCCGCACCTGTGCTACCTCCGTCTCCAGCTCATGCATCACAATCGCCTGCAAGGTTGGGAATCTCTCCGGATCAGACAAGAACTTCTGATGGACTTTCTGCAGGAAGCCAGAACAGATCGATTTTAGTTATTACACTGTTACAGACATCAAAGTTGATTGATTTGTTGACAGTTCAGCACATTACACTTTGTTTCGTTATCTGACACTTTCGATAAATGTGATTTATGCACCACAAAACTACACAGACATCTGTATATTTTACTTAAAAAGATCTAGTACCTTACCCAACAGAACAACAGCAGAGCATCCCCTGGGATTTGAATCAGAAACTCTAAGAAGCCAATATTCCCATGAACCAAGCTATCTGCCAGCCATCCTGCTTAAACGCCATTCACACTTCGTAAGACCACCTGACGACCATATGCTCGCTAATACGCTAAACCCCAAAACAGCCCAAGCAAATCAAATAAAGCCACATAAAAGGAGAGCACATATTTCAAATTACTGTAGTTCTCAGTGCAAAACTTCTACGTGTTTTTAAATTAACTGTTGCAATTAGGAGACCGGAATGCCACTCTGTGGTCAAGTTAGGAACTGCAACTTTATCCTTTTCTATGTAGTCCAGCCATCTCCATGCTAGATACCCTGCTGTGTGTATCTAAAAACTGTAGAGCATTTATTCATGGGTGTGATGTTAATAGATGGTGCTTATTACAGGGTCAATTCAACCCCGAGGGCTGGCCTTCAAACAGCAGCACCACAGTGACGCACTCACCCACTATGTCGCTTGTTATGTGAATGTTTTATCTAGCCCAGCTGAAAGCATCAGGAAAAAAAACACCATACTTAGTGTACCTACCTTGATATTTCCCACAAAGTCCATTTTAACTGGTGCAAATACTGTGGGGCCCAACTTATCTGAAGGACAAAATTAACACAAGTCAGCTGCACAAATTGCCCTCATATTAGTTAAGTCTAATGTTGTTTTTAATTATCAAAACTCATATTCTACCAGGAGGTTCTTTGGATCTATAATGTTTTCTGGACACAGATCCAAGTCCATAGTATCATCTCTTTAAATAATTCAGATTTCACAAAGTAAGCTCTTTGTTAGTGATAAAAAGGCTCATTTAGCTACCTAAAGGAAATTTATAGCCCTAAAGAGACCATGAGACTTATAAAGTCTGGGAGGATAAATAACAGAGTATTAAACAGGGAGTTTGACAGAGAGTGGGAGGAGTCAGAATACCCAGCACTGGTACTATGGCATAACAGGAGTCCAGAAAAGGCCGAGTCGGGATTCCAGCGTCCTCCTCCAGTTCTATATCGCTAAAGCTGTGGATCAAAAAATACCCAAAAACGAAGAGAAATTACAGGCTGCATCCAAAACATCTAACATCTTAGCCTGTTACTGCAAGAAGATACATCTACACCAATACAAGCATCAGAATTTTTTTTTTTTTCAACGCAATAGAATACTGTTATTTTATACGGCTCAAAAGTGCTTCATCACAGTGAAATTTAAGCAGGAAAAATGCAAGTAAGAAGAAAGTGCAAATAATAATACCATCTGGTTGGTTTTTTGTGTTTTGTGTTTGCCTTGGGTGATGTACGTTACATTGCAACGATATCAGTGCAATGGAATATGTCCCTTATCGAGGACAGACAGACAAGACTAAACACCACACAACATTTTACGTTGCCAAAACATTATGGTTTAAACACTGTCACTGACGTAAAAATGTATGTGAACCTCTACGACAACGGCCTCCTGAAAAGAGGGTAATTAGAGGCAAGTCTTCCTAACAATTCAGATGTGGGTTTAACCTGTCATGGTAACCTGCTCTTCACAAGAGAATTATGCAATAAGGTCTGATCAAAGGAGATTTCAGAAAAACAGTTCAAACTCATAAAGCTGGTATTCCGGTATGCGGAATGTTCACACTTGTGCTGTGTTCACGCCCGGCCGCACGGTGCCCCTCTGCTCACCAGTTACTAGGCAAATCACCTGAGACTAATAAGACCAATAGGAATTGTTTATGATATAACTTATTGGTGTATTATTAAGGGTCCAAAGGACGAAGTCCTTATTTATTATTATTATTACTATTTCTTAGTTGAAGTGCATATAATTACATAATTGGCTACTGGTACCACTGTTTTCATTGTTTAATTCATTTTGTTTGGCATAAGCTACTAAGGGGGCGGCATGGTGGTGCAGTGGTTAGCACTGTTGCCTCGCACCTCTGGGACCTGGGTTTGAGTCTCCGCCTGGGTCACATGTGTGTGGAGTTTGCATGTTCTCCCCGTGTCATCGTGGGGTTTCCTCCAGGTACTCCGGTTTCCCCCCACAGTCCAAAGACATGCTGAGGCTAATTGGAGTTGCTAAATTGCCCTTAGGTGTGCATGTGTGAGTGAATGGTGTGTGAGTGTGCCCTGCAATGGGCTGGCCCCCCATCCCAGGTTGTTCCCTGCCTCGTGCTCATTGCTTCCAGGATAGGCTCCGGACCCCCCGCGACCCAGTAGGATAAGCAGGTTGGACAATAGATGGATGGGTAAGCTACTAAGCCTTTGGACTCACATTCCTCTAACCCTGTTTTTCCCCCATTGGATTTTAGTACAAAATTTTAGTGAACACAAGGTTTTTCAGAAACACACTGGTAGCAGGACCACTTTATACAGCTGTGTATTTATCATTATTTCTGCATTTACTGTATGTTAATGTTATTTTAGGTTGTATCTTATTTGGTACAATGAGGTAGGTAATTTCTTTGGTTTGGGAAAGCTCAAAAAATTTTCCCCACATAAATTGACGGTAATTGCTTCTTCACTTTACACCATTTTAGCTTACAGAAGATTTCATAGGAATGCTCTACTTTCGGATAGTGAGGGAAAACTTTATACTGGTGAGGAGCCGTTTCACTGCCCCATGACCCACATGGTTCACCATCAGTGAGAGACCAATATATTCTAGGATGTGCCAAGATAGACAGACACCTTCTGATCTCAAAGACCTTATGATCTCAAAGTCAAACAAGTTGGGTCATGCAACAAGACAATGATCCAAAACACAAAATAACAAGAGTAGTTCAAACAGAAGAAATTCTGTATTGTAGAATTGTTAAGTAAAAGGCCTGATCTCACCACTGATATGCATTATGCTGTGACCTGATCTGAAGCAAACTGTCCAAAAACTTACATGAACTGAAATCTTTGTAGAGGAATTCCCCAAACCACCTTCCTACTACTGTGCAGACCCAATCTGCAGGTACAGACAGCATTTGGTTGAACTTAATGGAGGTTCCACCAGTCACTAAATATTAGATTCACATTTTACCACCTATAATTTTGATCGTTTAAACCGTTTAAACCATCTGTTCAGTCTAGATATGGCAACGTAAAATGTTTATGTAGGTTTTGTTCAACAAGACTTAATTGGATAATATTAGCTGAAGATTAGATCAAATTTCAGGGTTAGCTTGTGTAAAAAAACAGATTGTGGAATTGCATACATCAGTCTTTGAAACAATCTTGATTTGCAGGCACCATGTATTAAAGGCACAGTAAGCTCTAATTACGTCTTCATGACACGTCAATGGAAGGGGGTCATCATACCGGTGACTCATAGTACTGAAGAATGTTTCCACCTGCTCTGGATCTTCACGGTGGGTCTGCGGTTTAGTGGGGTCAACCACTTCTCCCACGCCTTGGTCAGAAGAAATCACTTCTTGGGCCCGAGGCAGTACGGGGCTAACTTCTTGTCGATCTTGGAGGTCCTGGTCAGGCAAGGCTGCCTCCTTCTGCTTCATCGCTTCCATCTGCCCTCCGTCAGCCAGCTGAGGAACTTGTTGCTGGGCATCCACATCCTTGGCGTGCCGAACCGGTCCTTTATTTACATCGATACCTACAGACAAAAATCACACACACAGCACAGGCAAACAATTGAGATTTCAAAGACCAATGAAAAAGCTGGAAATCATCTGGCCTCAAATTTAATAGGACTGTGGAATGACTAGGAAAAACTAAAAGTTTCCAAGTTATAGATGTATACAGGACTGTGCCTGAAAACAGGTCCATGTTGCTTTGATCCATTAGTCACCAACCTGGGCTTAACTGAATTCCTTTTCACCCTCAGATGTAGGGCAAAGGTTAGCAGTAGCTGTGCTGCTGGCATGGTGAGGTGACCTACCCTCTGGCATGGTGAGGTGACCTACCCTCTGGTTGGGTTTTTGTGTTTTCAGGAGATGAGCTTAGACTCGTCGGTCCCTCCATCAAAGACTCCAGTAGCTCACTCCCCGAGACACTTCCAGAACTGCGCTTTCGTTCCTTTTTCCTGAATGAAAGAGATCATCAAACCTTAAAACACATCTCTAGAACGTGCCCTGATCTCTACATATCATTGTTATTTTGAACATGGACTGCAATGAACACCAAAGTGAAGAAGCAGTAGAAGTTACTAGCTAAAGCAACCTTCAGAAGCTGTACTTTTACACGTTTGACTTTGTACCGACTAAAATTAATTCCACAGCTGCGTAGAGAGCACCCAAAGGACCTCATTAGTGTCATGAAGACACGTACATGGCATTTAGACTGAATAACCTACTTTTCAATGGAGTTCTGGCTTGACTGGCTAGCAAACTTGACCTATGAGAGAGGGAGCAGTTGATTATTAGATCAATCATGTGACAATTATTCCTTAAAGAGGAACAGATACAAACAACAGGGTCTTTCAAGACATTGGGAGGCCTTCATAAGCTAAAATACTTAAATGACTAATGCAAACACTACTAATACTACTTTCCTCAGTCTAGTAATGCGAGTTAAAATATTCCATTATTTAGGCAATTATTTGAGAATAGACCTCTGTGAAAAGCACGTCGTCGGTGCAGTGTCGTACTAGTATGCTTCCAGTTTTTACAAGAAACTTAAAGTGCAAAATAAGTTTAAATTAAAGCACCATTCAAAGACATTAAATTTAATGTTAAAAAAATGCCATTTTCTGTTGCTGCGTGGTCCCTGAGTTGTGGTCTCACCTTGTGGGGTTTGATGGTCAGAACCGGAGGAGACGCCGGTGGGGTCTGAGTCAAAAGATCAGAACTGAAGGTACGGCTGGCGATCAGCATGCACTCCTCAAGTGTCTTCAGGAAGGTGGTGCAGGTGGTTTTTACCAGGGTCCCCACGGCTTCACCCTCCTCCTCCTCCTCCAGGGAAAGAGCCGTGAAAACCCAGAATGATCGCTGTACACTACAACTCCAGCGGCTCTACCTCACCTCTGCCGCAGCGGCTGGTAGCTCAGCCTGAGAGCCATCCTTGATCTTGGTGACTTGCTGAAGGAGAAGGTCGCAGTATATTCGCAGCTCAGACATCTTGATTTTCAAGGCTTCCGCATTCTCCTGAAGCTCTAGAGAGAAATATCAGAGAAGCTGGGTGAGCTTTGAAGATCGTAAATTGTTATATACAGAATAATAGCTGGTTTGAAAGAACCACGATTAGAAACAAACGGAGAAGCACTGAGTGGGGAAAGAGCACTGAGCTCTGGCTGTAAAGGGGTTGAAGGGTAGGCAGGGGACACAGCGGTGACCGGGGACTGTAAGCACACAGGAGCTCGCCTTTCTCTCTCTTGGTCCGGTTGTCTGTAAGACAAGCCTTTGCAGTTCCCAAGGCAACCAACCACTTCTGCCGTTGTGCAGCATTGATGGCTCTGAGATAAAAATATTGTTCCCCTGGGATGGTTAAGTCCACCCTGGTAGAGTCTGAGGAGTGAACTGGAATAGAGCATCAGAAAGTGTAGTCACTCGTGTGGAAAAATACACCCAATTTAATGAAACGTGATACATCGCCGACACGCTCTTACCTTGTATTTCACACACAGAGATTTTGATACTGCCCTTGCAGCCTTTCCAAACATCTTCTTGAGAGTCATAATAAGACAGCGTGTCTCCTTCAAGCACAAACCAACGGGGCTGCCAACCTAAACAAGTCATTTTTCACATCAGTAAACCAGGAGCTGCTGGTCACATGCTGCATATCTATGCGGTTAGCTGTCCCCATGACCTTTAGAGAGACACTCGTCGTGGATCTTATCCTGCTTAAGGCAATGTTGTCAGTCGTTTATCCCGTCAAACCAGTACTAGGTGCCCTGCCTCCCCGAATCATTCACAGTCGTCAACACAGGCGACCAAAGTTTTATTTTATGAATGTAAACATGTCCGATGTTAGCCGCATAAAGACATATCCTTAGCAGTAGATGTTCCATACTTGGATTAGATGCTGATACACAAGAGATGTGTCTATATTAGAAAACAAGGCGATGTTTTGGAGCAACTAAAAAAATAAACTTCCAGAGCAAATTTGGAAAATTCCCGAAGAAATTGGATACGAAATGAAGGTTTCCTAATTTAGCTCGTTTAAACTTAAATCCAGTGTTTATTGTTTTCCTTTCTTATGCATCATGATTCGGACAAAATAAAAAGTAGAGCCAAGTAACGAGGTATCTCAGCATCTACAGTATTTAGCTAGCTGGTTAGCTACAAACATCAAACGCTTTTCACGTTCACAACACTTACGTTTAGTTAGCAAACGTCACCATACTTACCACTTATATAATTAGTCCACTTATAAAGCATTCCTTCCATGATTTATGTTGTTTATCTGTCGCAGGTCATTATTAAAACGTGTGGAAACCTTCAATCAACCTCAGGTCTTCATTTAATTCGGCAGCACAAATTTCGTAACTTTCTGAGCGAACGGCTCTCTTCTTACAAGCGCTACGCTGCTTGTGGGCGTAAAGTCTTCGTGAATGCGACGTACATGCGAAGTCCCGCCCTATTTTCTCACTTCACACAAATTTGATGTATAAAATGACAGAACTAAAGATGGTGGATTTTCTCCACTCAGCGCCCCGCAAAGCAAAACCAGGCCTCACCTCAAACCGACAAGTATTTAATTTTTAAGACTGAGTAAAAACTTTACTCTCACGACCGTCTGCGTTCCCCATTGCCCCCACCGGGGGTTTTGAGTCTGTCAAGCTGCGATTTTAAGAAATTAAAAGGTATTATCCATATAAAACAAAACATAAACACATCTCACGTCTTGACTTGCATGTAATACGTTAAACTCGGCTCGATTTCCTAAAAACGCATCATTTGGGGCTCTTGCTGAGCGAATGGGTGTGGTCATAAGATGAGCAGGCGTTATATCCAATTATAAACGTGATATTTCGTTTAAGGCGTTCATCTCCTTACATTTCAGCCAATGGAGTGCAATGTGGGTCTTTCTCGCGAACTGAATAACTGTGTCTGTAACAAAAATATCCCATCCTAAAAAATGCGAGGGCTGCCACGTATTCGGGTAGCGGCTGTGTGAGTAGCGGCCAGGAAACCTTCATACTTGAAATACAAACAAACTGTCAACAAACGTGTTCTTAACGTAAAATGTTACTTGCATGTATCAGTTGGTTTTGCACATCATTTTTCTTATATGTCACTGGAGCAAAACTTCCAGAGCCGGAGGTGAAAATCGAGGTTTTACACAAACCTTTCCTCTGCCACCGCAAGTCCAAGTACGGGGATATGCTCCTGGTGCACTACGAGGGATTTCTGGAGAGCAATGGCACCATGTTCCATTCCAGGTGAAATATCGACTTGGTTCGGCAATAACTGGCAACTTACTTATCCAAAGAAGACGTTATCTGCTGCTGACACCAGTTTGTCATTCAATCAAGTTGTATGCTATACAGTTCTGGGTCCTACCGAACCTGGAGATCTGTGATCTTTGATCTTAGATCGTGTAATCAGCATTGGTAAAGTTAACTGATTACTAGTTTTATCATTCCGCATAGTTTTATAATTGCCGAATTTACTTCTCCGTTCGCCACTTGCTTATCGTAGTAAAATACCCTTCTGAAGATATGTTTGACAATTTAGTATTTAAACCATTGTTAAATCGCGTACAACCACGTGCAGGGGGTGATCATATAGACCTGAAATAAGGCCTTGATGCTCCTAAAAATTAGGCAGAGAATGTTTACCACTGGTATTCACCTAAAATGCTTTGCTGAATTTGTGTGCCCCTCGGCAGCCGCACCCATGGCGATAAGCACCCGATATGGCTCACTTTGGGCATCCGAGAAGTGATCAAAGGCTGGGACAAGGGTTTGCAGGACATGTGTACAGGGGAGAGAAGAAAACTGACTATCCCCCCCTCCCTTGCATATGGGAAAGAAGGGAAAGGTAAAGTATCTTATCAGAAATTCATTAACATGAGTAGTAATATGTATATTTAGGGGGGGGGGGGGGGGGTTGTGTGAGACTGAGTGGGTTAAGCCTCTGTATCTTGATCAGAAGGTTGCTGATTCAAGCCTTGATCCAGGCGGGCTAAATAAATGGCCTGTCCCTGTACTTCAAAGGCAAGCAGGATGGGATATGCAGTAATATGCATTCCATGTATCGGTAATTGTGCGAATGGCAAATAAAGGGTTGTTTCATTTCAAATAATAACTGGAGACATTTTCTTGTTACATTTACAGGCAAAGTATTTTCATTTAAGTGAAACTTTGTCTACTTAGGAAAAATCCCTCCCGAAAGTACACTGATCTTCGACATAGAGATCATCGAAATCCGAAATGGCCCGAGGTCTCACGAGTCCTTCCAGGAGATGGATCTTAATGACGACTGGAAGCTGTCCAAAGCAGAGGTGAGCCTTCGTGATGCTGCCTTGTGAGAAATGCTGGGTGCACAGGATGGGTTTGTTTGTCAGGGCTAAGGGGGGCCCTCGTGTGTCTGCTTTTCCGTTAAGTTCAGAGGGGTCTTTGCATTTTTCTCTTTGATGCCCAAGTTGAAAATGCTTCTGATTGCTTCTCGCAGGTGAAGGAGTACCTGAGGAAAGAGTTCGAGAAGCACGGCTACCCCTCCAATGACACCCACCATGAGGTTATGGTTGAAGATATATTCAACAAGGAAGATGAGGATAAAGACGGGTACATATCAGCTAGAGAATTTACCTACAAACACGATGAACTCTAGACAATAATGGAATTCATACATCTCAGAGGATCTTTTTGGTAGTTTTACTGTAAATCTGGGTGTTACAAGCGCAGGTGTGACATTTAACATGTTCTTGGATTTGATGAATTCCTGTGAAAGTCTCTCTGGATGTGATGGACGAAACCATTTCACGCTCCCAGACATTTCTTTTTGTCATTTTTTCTTTCCCCTTTGACTGAGGATGTTGATCTTTGTATCTTAACATATTTTTTAATAGGCACCCTGCTTTTACACCACATTTTTAAGTTTCTTACTAGAATAAATTATCCATGTGAGAATAATTTATCTCTGCATTTGTGTCTTGAAGCCACAAGGTGGCACTGCTGCTCTGATGTGGGAAGACTGCTGAGCATTGACTTCAGCTTTGGGTTTCCCCGAATACCTGTTGATGGTATTTTTTTTCTTTATCTCTTATTGAAGGTAGTGTCATGGAAAGGCTATCCCAGGAAGTATAGGGAACACTTGGTGCAATGGGATGGCAGTCCCCTACATGACACACACACATACACACACACGCAGGTTCATAATTATATCTTTGTGGGGACTCTCCATTCATTTCTATGGGGAAAATTCTAATCCCAACATGACGACCTTAACCCCTACCCAGCCCTGACCTTAACCTTAAGTAACAAAATACAAGACTTTTGGCATTTTTAGTTTTTTGATTGTATTCTCAGATCTTTGTGGAGCTTGAAAAACGGTCCCCACAATGTAAGTGTGCAAGGCTATAGACGTATCCACGCTTGTAACTTATTTAGCCAACCGTGTTCTGTCTCGCCTAGTTGACGCCCTCTTCGGTTTGAACGTGGTCTGTTAGCACTGAGAGATACTGACATGGTGCTTTAGACTTACTAGTTTAAAGCTCGATTGGCCGGCAAGGAGACAGACAGCATTGGATAGAAACATCTCGCTTCTCACACGTGAGCTAATGGACACTGTGAGAAATAGCAGAATGATGTTGTGGTCAACAAAATGAGGAGAGGTATTTCTGTTAAGCTGGACATAGATAGCTACATCAGCTTAGTACATTGGTGATTTGAAGTCCTAAGATTGACTTAATTGGTTCCTGGTTCGTGTAGTTTCTTGTTCTTAGCTAATTTGTTTAAACTCCTCAGAACTTCCTGAATGGGAATTCATAACTGAATTCATAACCCATTGCTCAAAAGCAGTCATTCATTTGGTTTTATTAAAAGGAAAAAAAAATGCAAAAAAAGAAAAACTGAAATTGCCCCTCTAGTGCCATAGGGGGCAGTAACATACTTTTACCTTAGCCCAAACCAGTCGGCATGACCACAATATTTTATGGTTTGCCTACAGTAACCCTAACAATATGTTACCACACTGGCAACTTACATAACCTTTCACTTTTGGCAGCGCTCAGAAAGAACAGAAAATGAAAACAGATAAGATTTATCCTTTCAGTTTGATGGTGGCACAAGTTACTTCTCCTTTCCAAGTTAAATTGTTTATCAGTACAACTTCTGATTTACTTTTTATGAATTGGGAATGACAGCTTGAGTTGTGCTTGTTCTAACTGAATGAAATTCATTCGATCAATTGAGTAATATTTACATCAGACTCAGCTATTACTTACTACATTCCAGAAGGACATTCAGTACAAGTTTGTTCAGCAGAAAATGTAAGCCGCCTCTTTCACTCAGATATTCCCACGAAAGAACATATTGAAGCAAGAATGTGAGTAAAGCCGCAGATGAAAGGGGCTCAGGTTTAAAAGAACAGATATTTACACACACAAAGGCCAGGGAATGTATCACTGCTTTCTAGTCATTGATCTTCAGAATATCATGCACATTTTGCTGCACTTTCAGAGGAGATTAAAAGAGAGAATGGGTTGGGCATACGCTTTTCTGTTCAATACAGAATTACACAGTTCATTGACATGCATACAGGAAAAAAAACATTAAAATACATCAGAGATTTAAATCACAGATGAATCATCCAACAAAGGTTAAAATTTTGTTCAACAAATGTGTTTAAGTCATTGAAATTTAAATATAAGCTAACATAAAGCTCTCTTCATTTTATTAATACAAATTAAAAATACAATAATTGTAATTATAACTGCATGGCAACAAAGTTAAACGAAAACGTTACATATTTCGTTTAGTGTGCATTTCTTCTAAGGTTTGGACCAACTCTGCTGTGAATTGTGTAATATATTTTTTAAGGAAGAAAACTGACAGAATAAATATTCACCCTTCATTTACACTCTTGCCCATAGCAATTCTTCATAGTATGTCCTTCATAACAATTACTGAAATGACATCTCCCCACCAATATATCTGCTCTATAATAAATAACAGCCTATGAACATACAAAAATTTATTAATATACTAAAACAGAAACAGGTCTATATTTGGGTTATTTTTGGTGTACTTTGTGTCCCTTGGTCTTCTTTAGAGGATCCCCCCCCCAAAGTCGTTCTGTAAACTAAATAACGTGCGCTTAACTAAAGGCATTAGCCTACTCCTCGGGGAATTCCTGTGTCATTTTTGTTCGCAAGTATCTATATAGGCCTACAAAATATCTTTGCATCTCTGCATCTCAGTTTTCATTACACAGAAAGCAGCCGGGGTTCTTCCGTCAGCGGAAAGTCTCCTTGCCAGGTGCGCTGTTTCCTTCGTAAAAGTTGTTATTTTCGGGTAGAGTGGCTCTTATCCTGCGTTTTTCTTTAAAACGTCCGGAACGGGAAACTTTCCAGGTGCGCCGACACGTTTTCTCATTAAACATGGGCTCAAACTGCGAATCGTCATAGGTTTCATTGCTTATTAAGCTGGAGTCCTTATTCTCCTTAGATTCCGCGGACGGTTTGCTTCCGCCGGCCGGCGTCTTCTCCGGACCAGCCTGGGTCTCCGGACCGCTCTCCTTATGGGCCACTTCGGAGTCCCTGGAAGTGACTTTCTTCCTAACCGTAAAGGATTTCCACCAGGGGCTTCTCTCTGCCATCTCCTTCGGCGGGCGTAGGAATATCTACGATAACAACATATAATAATAATAATATTAGGCTATACATGATAAACTATTAACCGAGTGTTCATATCATACAAATCACGATGGTTCGCTGGTCTCAAAGTCTCCTAAAGAGATTTTTTAATAGTTTAGTTTTTTATAATTATTCTACTAAACTGTCATTCTTTTATTATCAGTAGGCCTATGTTAATATGAAAAATGACCCGGCAAAACATGCTTACAATGTAACAACCGAAACCACAAATCGTATGCGAACGACAGTCACGCACCTGGCTGTAGCCGGCTGCACCAGTCACGGCTGCCTCTGAAACTTAGTACGGAGAAAATATGTTCCCTTTAACAATGTATTAGGTTATAGGTAATCCATGTTAGGGGCTGCGATGGTAATCCGTTTACGATGGAGTGAGACGAAATTGACGCGATTTGCAGTGATAAAGCATATTCCCAGGTGATAATTAAATCCTCCGTGGCCGGACAGGTAAATCTTTCAGAGAAATGTGTAAACGCAAGCCTGCGGAGTTGATTATATTCTGTGGAGGCGCAGCATTCCTTTCGCACCGATTGGCTCATTCTCACCTGTTCAGCCGTCCTACTAGCAGGTAAGGCGCTGTCGAACAAAGTTTATCTAAAGCAAAACCGGGTACGGCTGACAGTGGAGAAATCAAGCTCTGGAGAAGTGCCAAGGTCACCTGCCAAAATATACGTGGAATAATTAGCTGTGTTATACAGCTAGTGAGCAAAAGATATGTTGAATATGCTGGCTGCTGGGCGACTGTGCCTAGGTGATGAAAAACTGTTACAGTTTGTATAGTGTGGTGACAATCAAATCTCTAATTACAGACATATATGCAGTTGCGAGACAGGTGTGCCTCACATTTTAAGTGAGCATCCATCCATGTCTTCATCCATCTATCTGTCCATTCATTTTCCCATCCATCCATCATCTTCTAGCAAGGTATGCTTGTCAGAATCACTGTGATATTTTACGTAATCACTTACCACTGACATTTATCATCTCAATAGCAATTTGACCTGTGTCACGTCTAGAGAGAGATGAGAAACCTATTGTAAATTTCCCTTTTTGTTTCCATAAGAATCACGCTTCTCTGTTCATTTTCCCTGTGCTTTTATCCAAAGCAAGTCACAGTGGAAGGAAAGGTTACAACTGATGTGTGCACTTCAGGATTTGAATCCACAACATTCATGTACTACAATATAGAGTACTATATTCTATTTGTTTAGCTATAGGAGCAGTATGTGAGTTTCTCTGTGAATTTACTTTTCATTTAAAAACTATGGCTTACTGGCTTGCTCTGTGACTATAGGGTGACCACCTACTCCATGTCAGGAGCGACAGCTACTATCAGCTACTTCAGGTTTTACAAACTGCTCTAAAACTGAAAGGCTCCTGTGTTTGGTTAATTAGTTCAATTCTTTGTACTTTTACTGGTTTGTTTCCTTGACCTAAAGACTCATCCAGCAGTTTCACATTAACATTAGTGACACATACATGATTTTAGGAGTCTGACCAATCAGCACACCAAGTGAAATCCAGCTCCTTTTAATTGAAATGATCATAGTTCATAGTGTCCGTCCGGACATGGATTAAGTGGTCACCCCACCTGTGACCCCCGCTTGCAGGGGCATGGGTTTCATTCCCCCCCTGGATGTGGAGTTTGCATGTTCTGCCCCCCCCCACCGATGTACTGCGGGCCCCCAACCCTGAGATTCTTTGGAGAGGTTCCAGCTCTGTACTAATAATAGGGACGATAGATGTATGGAAGTTTGGCATATTCCCCTGAATAAAATGCATTATTATGCCATATGCATTATTAAAAAGAGACTCTTCAGAACGATCTACTTTTGACGTTTAAAAATTTACATTTTTGAAAGTACTCCTTCCCTGTAATAAATAAATAAATTTGATCATTCTGATTCAGTCCAGTTTTACCTTAACTCTGTCCATTTATTTTTGATATCTGTTTGTTTATTCCGGGCCAGAGTAATGCAACATTTATCCCAAGACACACACATGCACCCTGGACAGAATCTTGGGAGACACAGAAATGCAGAGAAGATGCAAAATCTATACAAGCATTTATACTGAGGCTGGATTCATACCTGTACCTGCATGACTGTAGGGCTACATACTTACAACACTAACTGTGAGTCATTTCATACTCTGTCACTTGAAGCAGTCAGTTTGGGGACACATTTAACATCTCTAACAAACAAAACCCATTTACACGATTAAAAACATACCTAAGCTTTATGCAAAAAACATCTGAAGGCAAGTTTCTTTTTTCAGGTTTCATTACATATTAACCAAATAAACTGGGATACAAGGGACAATCCTTTCTTGTGGGTGAAGAGTTTTTTTGTAGTGGACTGAGAAGGAAAATACAGATGATTAATCAAAGACAAGGCAGTGTACAGGTGACAGTGTAAGTGACAATAACGTAAGTGACAGTGACCTCCTGCCTATATCCTAAGAGGACCGGAGGCAACATGCTCTCCTCTGTCTCATGCACTCATTGTGCTATAAATCTTGTTTTGTGAAACAGATGAAATATGGATGTCTGTCATTTTAAGCATTTTAAACATTTTACATAGTTGACTACTTAACATCGGAAATTCAATGCATAGTCCTTTGGCCTGCGAAAGCCCCTGATTTCAAAATAATGCATCAGAATCCTAAAAGAAGACATCTTTGCACCTGGACAGTCCTGTAGAGCAGTGTGTCTCCACCTGCTCCTCGGGGACCCCTGGAAGGTCCACATTTTTGCTCCCTCCCAGACAGTCCACATTTTTGCTCCCTCCCAGCTCCCAGAGCAAAAACATGGACTGTCTGGGGGTCCCCAAGAACGGGATGGAGACACTGCCATAGACAGACTGCTGTATACATTTTTCTTCAAGTCATGATTTAAGTTGTGAGATCCTTCAGGTACGTTTCTTGTCCAAGTCGGTTTTTTTTTTTTTGTATTAAATCTGTCACACATACTATGAAACCCACACTTTCCAAAACTCTGTTGGAACTACACATATATGTTTCAATGCATATTGTGCAACATCGAATTAAAGATATTTGTACCGGTGTTGAAAATGTCACCCTGAGAATATACCCAGTGACTTCACTGTCTTTAAAAGGTGACTCCATTCTGATTCTTTAAAACAAGACGTCTTCATGTTCGATCAAGAGCTGAACAATTAATTTCTGGTGCTGCGTGTCATTCAGAGTTTCTAGAGTATCTCGGCTTGGTGGTTGCATTAAGGTAGGCCCGAACACGATACCCAGATTTTCTGCATTCATAAAATTTTCCTTTTCGAACAAGGTGACCCTAAAGGGAAAACAGAAAAACAAACATTGTCAAAATCAAGACGTAACACAGAATGTTTCCCAGGGAACCCCACATACGCCAATGTCAGAGGTCCTTCAATGCGGTCACGTGACGGGAAGCTGGCGGTCACGTGACGGGAAGCTGGCGGTCACGTGACAGGAAGTCTCCTGGACTCACCTCTTCAGGTGCGCCAACAAGTAACGTAGCGTCTCCTGGTGGGCGGCCGGCAGGAGTAGCAGACCTTGGCGAACAGCCGCCAGTCTGGCGCCTGGATCTGGCATTTCTACAACAAGGAATCCACCATTACAGAAGATCCCACATCACCATGGAAACAAGCAGCAGCTCAATAGGTCTGTGAATGTACACAGTACCCATACTGTACACTGGGAGGCGTATGACCAGCAAAACTATAAAACACATAAATCACAAATAAAGTCTATTGTTTAAGACCCATCCATCTATACATGTCCATAACTGTTTATCCAGTACAGGGTGTCAGTGTGTTTAAGAAAGTTGTTATCATTAATATCTTGTAGTAGCTACATGTATTCTTGCCGCACGCTAAAGCTGTCTTACTCGCTGCATGTATGAACTTGGGGTAAAGATCGTAAGTGATGACGGGCACTGGCAGCTCTCGCAGATAGAGCTTCAGCGCTCCGGCGATGGCGTTGATGTCCGCGTACACGCTGGCGCTGATGTCCGCCTTCTCTCCTTCTGCAAGGTGACAGCGGAGTTACGCCGGAGGTGGCGGCGATGCCCGCATCTCTACACCCCCCCGCTTGTGTTAAAACACACCCAGCACATTGCCCAGCTTGACCCGCCCGCCCGGGTGCCCACAGCCACCACAGTTTAGCTTCACTTTCATGCTGACTTAGCCTGTCGTTTTTGAAGGGGGGGGGAGGGGCAGCGGGAGAGGTCGTTATGCACCCACCTCGATCGAAGACCAGCTTCACGTGCTCCACATGTTCCGTGCAGCCGGAGACCCTGTAGAGCCCTTCAGACTTGAGACCTACAAGAAGATGACACTTCTTGATGCTGCGCAGAACCTTATGCCGTCTATATTCCACTATTCCCATTCAGTCCTGGGGTGACCGAAAGAAAAGGGTGTGGAAAGAATCCCAGGGTGTGTAGGTTGTATTTCTAGATGTACAGTAATACTTTCAAACACAGCTTGAAGGCCTTTTTAAAAACACACACACCTCTCTGCTCTATCTCCCGGATACACATGTCCACGACCATGGGGCGCTCTGCGTTGTGAGCCTTGACCAGCGTGGTGAGGTCACAGCTGAAAACCCTCTTTATCCTCCGTGGATCCGGCTGGCAGTCCCTGGGTACGTGCCCGGCGCATTGCTTGTGTGCGTTTAGCCCGCAATCTGCAGAACCCAGGGGGAAGTGGTCACCAGTCAAAGCCTCAAAAACAGCAGAGACAGTGCAGCCCAGGACCTAAACAATGCAAATATACTGAGCAAAAGACAAATCAGGCAGCACTCAAATGGTCAGTCGGTATTATACTTCTGATTGTACTGCAGTTAGGGATAGATTTACATGTGTTTAACAAATACTGCACTTAGAAAACAGTAGTTTGCACATACAGTTATTGACAGTATTGCACATCATAAACAGTACGACACACAGGTACAAAATACATATACAGACACTCCCTAGGTCATGATGGTCCATATTACAATGTCAGCTTTACGATGGGTATCCAGTTCCATTTTGTTTTCCACTGTCAGTACATTATTCAATAAATTACATGAGAAATTCAACACTTTATTATAAAATAGTCTTTGTGTTAATGATTTTGCCCAACTGTAGGCTAATGTAAGTGTTCTAAGCATGTTTAAGGTGGGCTAGGCTATGATGTTTGGTAGGTTGGGTTTACTGTATTAAAATGCATTTCCGCCTCACAATAGGTTTTTTTTGGAACGTAACCCCATCGTAACCTGGGGAGTGTCTGTATATTGCACTTCAATGATAGTGATAGTAGTCAGTGTTCTGCAGAGTTACTGCTCTCAGGAAGAAGCTATTTTGTCATTTGTTTGTTGGGGTGTGTATAGCCCTACAGCATTTTCCTAATGGCAGTTCAATATGCCCATGGTAGGGGGTGTGCTGGGCATTTGGGGCATTCCGGAAGCAACTAGTGCTGTAAGCCGAAGGGCTGGCGGCTGTGAGCCGAAGAGGCACCCAGCTGCCTTAAGCACCTGATTTCGGGCTTCTTTGTCAGCAGAAGAGCAGGTGGTGTCCCTCACTGTTGTATAGTAAGTCAGAATAGATTCAGTGGTGCCCTTGTAGAGATGTTTCAGGGGCTGCTCTGGCAGGTGGGCTCCTTGGGATGTGTAGGCTTTGCTGTGACCTTTTAAGCAAACGGGAGGTGTTGAAAGGCCATGGGTGGTCCTGAGTGATGTGCATTCCGAGGAATTTAAAGCTGCGAGCCTGCTCTACATCATCTCCGTTGATGATCCGTTGAAGTGAATGGCTGAGTACGCCCTTCTTTTAATCCACTGTAAGGTCTTTTGTCTTCTCGATGTCAAGGACTAGGTCGTTGGCTGTGCACCACATTGATGCATCCTCATTTGATGTTTATGACCTGGAAGCTAAGTGATATTGCTCCTAGGTGGAGGTTCAGCATCATGAGCTCTGGAAGCCGTAGCAGATACTTTCAGAAGATGCTGGACGTTGTTGATTATCCATGATTCCTGGTTAAGGAACACTTGGATGTTTTATTTATCCATGCATTGTCTATGTAGCAGTTTATGTAATAATTTCACGCCATCCCTCCATTTGCATAATTGCTTGTCTGTTACAGAGTCACTGTGAGCCTGCGGTCTACACCACAGCCTACACCACAGTCTACACCACAGTCTACACCACACCAGGAAGCACTGGCCAGGCAGCAGTGGGCACCCAGCATGGGATGCCAGTCCATCTCAAGGCCCACACTCACAACTGCAATCTCTGGACTGTGGGTTGAAGCTGAAGTACCTCCAGAAAACCAATGAGCAACATGAAAACTAGACAATCCTATGGGTGTGAGGCTCCAGTGCTACCTATTGAAGCAGCATGTGTGTCTGTGTGGTCTGTGTAGCTCCTACTTAATGATTCTGGCCTCCAGGCGCTGGATTAAGGTTGCTACCGTCATGCCTTGGGAACAACGATATTACATTGACAGAGCAACACAGTGACCTCCATTTTCACTCTGCTTATTTCCTTACAGTCAGTCTTTTCACAGGTGATAAGACAAGCGCTCGAACCCTTGAGCAAGGGTACTGGGGGACAGGTACTGGGGGACAGGTACTGGGGGACGGGTACTGGAAGACGGGTACTGGAGGACAGGTACTGGGAGACAGGTGTGAGATTGGAATCTACGGTTTCTTTTCTAGGAAAGTGTCAGGGAGAGAAAAGCCCGGAGCTAAAATGTCAAAATGTCAGCAGGTCTTTCAGAATTTTAAATAAGAATATTATTCCGTCAGTATGTCAGGTATTATCCCCCCACCACCCCCGCCCCCCTGCACACATCATCACAGTGTCCTTCTGATGTCACACTGAATAAGCCATCGTCATGGCAAAGGCTTGGAGGTTTGTACATATGCGTATGTATGGGGGGGGGGGATTATCAGCATGCAGCCGGTTCCCAGGTTTAGCCACGCTGTGTGATTGTTTCAGGCCGGCTGGGTGTGTACCATCCACGCAGTTTCAGCTCGTCTCCGGGGCAGTTAAATATAGCCCAGGCCCGAGAAAGGAGCAGAACTGGTTTGTGTCAGGTTTCCTGGAGGAATGTGAAATGCCTGCATTTCAGACCCAGTACTGACTCACAGGTACAAAATCAGTGCAGGGCTCTGCAGTAGAACTGCAGCACTGACTGGAATCAAGTCTAAAACCTGTTTGCACCATTCTGTTCCACTCTGACACAGGTTTGGTAAAATGCTTTCAGTAGGTTGGAAAAAGTTTTCAGATCACTTAGGAAAGTAGAAGAGGTACAACGAAAAAATGCTAAAACATCCACACATCTACCCTCTAAGCAAATAGGCTGCTCCAGGATGCAGAGAAGCTATTAAAAAATAAGACTAAGAGTTTTCATGTAAAGAAATTATAACGTTGAAGCTACGGTTCCTTGCAGGGACCCATAAGACTTCATGCAAGTCCACATCCAAAGCTCTACACCTGCAGGTCACTGCATACAGTGGTGACAACCTTACATTCCATTTGTTCAGCCATCTTTTATACAAGGCAACGCACATTTTCGAGGAAGCAGAGTCAGACAGCCCCTGGATCAGAGGGGGGTTAAGGGCCTTGCTCATGAGCCCAATGGTGACATAGTGACATCACGCTGCCGACCCTGGGATTTGAGACGACAACCTTCCGATCACGGGAACAACACCCTGACCTGCTGAGTCACACACCACTCCCCCTTGACCAGCTTAACCAACAAAGATCTTTATACGGAATATAATTGAGGGATTAGGTCATCAGAAACTAAAAGTATGGATAGCATGAATATTGACGTTATGGACTGACAACATGGCATCTCCTGGGCGAGAGAGGAGCAATTACCTGTGCAGTGGAGCCCCTGGGTAATCAAACTCCACATGAAGTTGGCACAGAACTTGCACCACTGCGGTCCTTGGAATGTATGTACCTGTAACACAGGAAAACATGCAATCATTAACC